TTTGTCCAAAGTCCTCCCTAGTATTTATGGCAATTTCAGGCACTCTTCAAAGCGCTCAGGTCACTTACGCCTGGGGCATCATCTCAGTCATGAAAGGGCAATCCCAGCAACCCATGGCCGGATAGCCAGACCAGCTGGTGTTTGAAGACACAGACTTCTTAAAGTAAGATCCCTCTCTAAACTGTAGCCAAACTAGCATGGAGTAGAATTATTACAGTACAGCCCCTGTAGTCTTCCTCTGGGAGGCTCTAAGAATGTTTTCAAACGTTTACATTTCAAAAACGCAGAACCTGTTGTCTTGATCCTTTGTTACTTCACTAACTCTACTCCATAAAACACAGCAGGGCAAGACGGCTAGGTCATTGAGAATGTCTTCTGATAGCTAAATAGGAAAGCCTATTGTTACATCAGTATAACACAGAAGATGGGATAATTCAGAAACTACACCAGCCCCTTCTCCTGACTGTACATTGTCCATATCAGCTTAACAGTATTGAACATAAACACAGCTGTACTACGGCTCTATCAGGACAGCTCCTGGACTCACAAAAGCCATGAAGCATACATTTGGATCTATTCACTTTGCCCTCAACTTCTATCGCTGTGCCTTAGAACTGCACCTCCTCTGTTCCCGCACTCCTAAGTGCAATTATATTGAGCAGGAAGCGAAGGAATTTAGCTGTGAGTTTGCTAGCATTTCTGAATTTAAAATCAGACCTAAGAGGTATATAAATCTAATTCTAATTTTTTTTTATGTAAATTCAAACCACATGGAGAAAAAAATCTGTCATTCTGTTTGGTTTGAGGCTTTATAAATTGACACCGTATTAAGTTATTTAAACCCAGTAAAAATTAATGGGAGTTATTCTTGTGCTTGCAACAGTGTTCACTGCAGAAGATACTTCCAGAAGTATGGTGAAGTCATTGTTTAATGTCTCCTCTGAGACTTCCAGCTATGTAATGTGATATTTTTTTCCTTCTCTTCTAGTGTTCATTATTGACATAGAGGTATATTTACACCATAGAAGCAAAGCAGCTGGTTAGCGCCCCTTAGGAATATACCCTTGCTAAGGGAGATTTTGGCCCCATCCAATAGTTTACTGCATTCAGGTTGACTCAGTAAGGTGAAAAACAACCCCATTTGAAGTTACTTGCTACTCACATACTCATTGTTTTCTAAAGTGTTGTCCCTCTTGGGAGAAAAGGAAAGGCAATATAAAAATCTGCTGGGACAACCCCATAGTAGTCAATGCAATCGCTTGCTTGGTTTTGCACTGTTGAGTGAAGGAAAATGGAAGTGCAGGAACAAACCATCAGTGTTTTCAGGGTACCTACAAGATCTATACCTTCTGTAGGAAGCACTTCTATCCAAAAAAATAGAAATACGAACTGTTCTACATTACTTTCAATGAGATCTTACTAGAATATTAATATTCAGGTTGCAAGAGTATAATTTCATTTTGCCTGTTAACAGTGTTCATAGCTCTCTCCATATAGCTTTCCAAGTCTTTGATAAGGGTTTTTTCCTTACCAGTTAAATTTTTCAGGTAGAGTAAGTCATCATCCAACGAAGTGCACTAGTGGAAGATACCACATAATACAATATTAATCATATATATGTCAAAGAATGAATGCAGGATAATTACTTGGCTTACAGGACTCAAGTAGGCAAGCAAACCATAGCAATTACATGGCTGAAAAAACCTTATTTGGTATAATCTACAACTCAGTTGGGTAGTACTCATGAGCGACTGCAAGAACCAGAGACTGCATCAGGAAACACAGTAGGTCAAAACAACCTGCTGCATCTCTCAAAAAAGCATATAAAAATATCTGTATGGGAGAATGCTCTCTAAAGGAGAGAGCTCCCTTATTTTTCAAGCTCCAAATACTAGAAAGCGTCAATAAACTATACCCTAGAAGATATAAAGTCTTGTAAAAGGAAACTAAGAATTAAGGATGTACAACAACAGTGGTAAGATTTTCCTGTGGAAGTAGTTCTATGATTGCATTTTCTTGGCTAGAAAGCTGACTTTCATTAAGCAGCCAGTCTTAAGTAGCGGAGCTTTCTATTCCTTTCTCTTTTGGCTCAATGTCTTGCCACTTATGTAATAAAATGTTCCACCATTCTGTATTAATTATACAAAAGTCAGCAGCCCTTAGAATTTACCATATTCACACCTCACTGCAGAACATAACAGTCATTGGGAAAAAACCTCTTTTACCTCCTTTTCTCCATCTTTAAATTAAACTAATTACACTGATGCTTCTTTTCTTTTACTTACTTTCAGAGTCCCTGAAAATCCGTGCCCTTCTTTTCTTTTGTTTTTCAGTCTTTATGAGCATCAAATTTGTTGTTTCTGCTTTCCAGTCTTCCATATGCATGTTTAATGGTTTAGTTTCTCATTTGTTACATGAATATAGGCAAGTGTAGAAGCAGGTACACAACAAAGGTAGTAAAATAGTCAAATGCTTTTACCAATCTAAATAGCAAGGCCTGAGGCAATCTTTTTTCTGGTTTGAAGACAATTAAGTACAGTTATTGCAATCAAGGCAAATAAAAAACCCACTACAAAACCAACCACAAATTTTATCCTCCCTGACAGGTCAAAGTGACATGGTTATTGCTAAAAATAAGGAAATAAACTGAAAAGATTTCATCCAAGATGTAGAGTTGGCAATGACAAAATACACTGCCATATTAAAGGCATTTTTAAACAGCATGGCCTACATGATGAAAACAGGTTAGCTTCCCATTCTTAACATTTGCATGTTGAACTGATTTAAAGTGCTACAAGGCAAATATATTAACTCCAAGAGGAAACAAGCTTTCACTAAAATTAATCAAGGTAATAGAAATCAGTACGTCTCTTTGGTAGCATCTTCGTTTTTAAGCTTAACAGCTTGACAAGGACTCTTTTTGAGACAATAACAACATAACCACCGCAAACTGCTCACAAGGAAGCAGAGAGCCCTTTCCTTAGAGATCAAACTGATTTTGAAATCTTCAGCTAAAATTTCCATCACCAGCTCTGTGCTCCTTTGTTAACGGTACTTTAAAAAGAAACCAACCCCCAAACACAATTAAGTACTTTCCATTTCCAGTTAAATCAGTCCCACCCAAATTACTAGTTAAATCAAAAAAAAGTTTCTTCATGCCGCAATAAACGACTATTAATGGCGCAAAGGGAGTTACAAACGGGTTGTTACTTCCTTGAGGTCAGTTCTCAACACAGCTGAAAACAATCTGGGTTCACTTTTGCATTGTTCTCAAAACGGACATATTGAAGGGAAAATCATAAGCACTGGGGCCTGATATCTGTAGATAATTACTCATGTGGTCTACACACACAAAAAAAAGGAAAGCATGGTGTGAGAGATACAACAGAAACGCTGTTTGCACCCTATTGAGCAGAGGGGAGAGACGGCTGTTGAGGTACAGCTCGTATCTTTTAGTTACCAGGAAAAGGTGTCAGGAGAAGAATTTAAGTACAGCAACTCGTTCAGCACAGGCACAACGAGGTTTCACACACAGGGACAAGGAAGGGTAGAAAATGGATGTCATAAACCTTAATAACAGGCACCAGTGGAGATGAGAAGGTGGCAGGCAAGATTTACCTGTGAGATGTAAAGGGAGGGTCAAGGAGAAAGATTATCAGTAGTTGGCTGTGATAGCTAGATAGAACGATGGGGGGACTGTGGAGCATGTGTCATACACACGAGGTGGACATCATCACAGAACTAGTAACTGCTGTTCACCTGCACTGGGGTGGTGTGAAAACTGAAGATACTGCATCTCTTTTATGCTAAAGACTAATAAAAGCATGATATAAAAGGTGCCTTCTTGAATACCACACTTCGGTGAGAAACCCGTAATGCCAACGCTTGACAACACAAAAAAAAATGACTTTGCAGTTGATGGGATAATTTACTGCGTTTGCCTGCACGGCTCTATCATAAGAGACAGCTTGTCAGAAAGAAAGAGAAGGCGCAAAAGCTGTCTGGCAATCTTCGACTCAAAACACTCCTGAATGAAACCAAACCGAGCTCTGAAACTTCGCCGCGCTGCCAACCTCGCGGGCTGAATGAGACACCACACAAAGGGCAGGAAGGGGGGGTTAATTTGCACCTCCGGGCTCGCTGGCTTCATCACATACCTGCTGCTTTCCTCGCTGGCTCACAAAATAAAGCACAGCCGCCGGGAACAGCGCCGGCTCAAGGCAGCCGCTCCCCAGCCTTCCCGGGCGTGCCCCCTGCCAGCCGCAGCCGCCAGACCGGGATTCGAACCAGCAGCGACCGAGGCGACAGCGCGGCACAGGCCTAGGGGGGGCGCCGCGAGCGCGGGGACGCGGGAAAACGTCCCGCCGGGTGCGCACGCGCGCGGGCCGTTAGCGAGCGGCGGGAACGCGGCGGCAGCGACATCCCTCCCGCCTTGCGCGAGTCCGATGCGCCCGCTTCCCCCCCCCCTTTCTCTTTCCCATGCCGGCCAATCAGCGGCCTGGATTTGTGAGGCGGGCGGGGCGGTGGCGGGCAGGTCCCGCTGAGGGGAGTGAAGGGGGGGAATGTGTCTGTGGAGAGCCGGAGGTAAAGTGGTACCGAAACACTTTCCCCCCCTTCTCCCGTCCTGTCCCCAGTGTTCCACACACGTTCCCCCATCCCCATAGCTCCCTCCGCAGCTCTGCGGAGGATGTTTCCCCCCACAGACATGGCCCCGTTGAGGTGTAGGTCAGGGGAAGGTGGGGTGAGAAGAGAGAGGGCTGTGGTGAGGAGGGACGTGAGGAAGCCGGCGCTGAGGGGGAGCCGGCGGCGGCGTGGAGGCAAGCGGCTCTGTGGGGGTGTTGTGAGATGCGAGCGCTGCCAGGAGAGGGTTAAACCGCGCTGGTGCTGCAGGAGACGAGAAAAGTTGAGGCTGCGTTTGGGGGCGGGGGAGAGCAGACGGGAACTGTGTTCTATCAACTTCGTGCTTAGGTGCTTTGTTTTTAACGTGCGTTTACCCTGGGTGCACTTCTTTTATAGTTACTCCTTTCTTTTTAAATAAGGCGGGGTGGGGGGAAATCTCCCACTAAACTTTTCCCTTTTCGGAAGGCGGGACTGGAACAATACCCGATGCATTGTTTAAATGTAAAACCTCCAGCGCCTTTTTCATGTATTTATTTATATATACTTTTTTTTTTCCGGTAGGGTTTTATTGCCGCCGCTGTTGTGATAGCGCTTTCCCCTCTTGTGTTTACAGCTTCTGTGAGGGAGAGACGCTGAGACGAAGAACCGGGATCCCTAGGCTGCATAAACAAGGAGAGCAGGAGTCCATCTAAGCAAAGCTGGAAGGATTTCACCTTGTTGCTGTTTGTTTAGGGAGATTATCCCTCCTCCCTCCTCTCCCCCCCGCCCCGGACGCTCTCCAGCTGAGCGTTTGTTTCGTTGCTGCCTCCACAGCCGGCCAGAAAAACAGCGCTTTACATGTTAGAGGTGATTTTTTATCGTGGTGTGCCTGCAAGAGAGACATCGGCACCAGTGTTCGAGGGGGAGGAGGGAGATGCGATCGGCTGAGGTTTTCCCTACCTCCGGCTGAACGTGAGAGTTCAAGTGACATCGCCGCTGGCCTGTGGCGGACTGACTGCCCAGCGAGCCGGAATCACAGCCAGAGCTGCTGGGTTTACCTGCCCGAGGACCCTTCAGACCCTCCTGTTGACGATAGAGATTTGTATCCAAAGGAAAATCGGATTAATATAAACTATGCAGAGCTTTGCGGGGATATCTGGAGACTACCCTGTCTGCATGGCTAATCTTGAAATTGTCTGAAATAAATCCTTAGTGCAAGGAATAACAAGATACTTTCAATTAGTTGGTGGTGGGTTGGGTTTTTTCTCCCTCAACGCTTTTTTTTTTTTTCCCCTGCCACGAGAATTTTAACGCCTCTACCGGGAAGGTTTTCACAGGAGAACGGGACACATGCTGGAAAACTCACCACCCTTCATAAGAATCACGCGGGGAGCAGTTTCCATCATCGCTGCGGTATGAAAGGTACTCTTTGGATTGTCTGCTGGTGGCTGAGATGGATCAGTCTCTCTCTGTTTCTGTTAGCGATGTGCTGAAGGATCTGGATTTACTGAAATACTGACGCCCATAAACTTACCCGCTTTCTGTGGAAGGCATTGGATGTGACAGCGCGGAGAAACATGTGTTTCACATTTCTGACTGGTTGTTTTGGTGCAATCAATACCTCCACCAGAAACATTGACTTAGGTGGCGATTATCATACCGGGAGGCACGGGGAGTGCTGCTTTCGGGCTGCATGCGGAGTGAGCACAAATCAAAGAGTCTGCCGCTCCTGTGAAGTGGGGGGATCGGCTCCCCCCAGACTGCGGGGCAAAGACAGGGGGGGATGTACCCACCCCACCGCGGAGAGCCCGGCCTCGAGGTACGGCATGAGCAATGACCAAAGTGCTGTCAGGAGTGGCAGGCAGTCGGATCGGATGGGGAGCAGTGAGGCAAGAACAGTGGATCGCGAAATTACTGCCCGGAGGAATAGCAGGCGAGGCGGAATGATGATAAAGTTAAACTTCTGTTTCATCTTCTGTCGGGGATGGTGGGCGTTTCTGTTGCTTCAGCTCCACATGTTGCAAGCACTGGCACAAGGTAGGGCTAGAGACGTTTTTGTTTATAGAAATGCCGCATCTGCCTTCTCAGAGGAAGGGAATCTCGCTCGGGTGCAGAGAAACCCTTTTACTTTATCCTTGTCAGAGGTAAACTGCAGAATTTGCACTGAGCTGATTTCATCCAGCAATGGTCGTTTCTTACACACAATCGTTTCTTTATGGAACACAGATTTGCAAACTGTACCTATGTGTTTCTCTCCCTTTCTTGTCCTATCCTTCCCCTATTCCAGCCTTCCACTGAGACTCAAAAGCCCTACCAGAACCAAACCTGCTTTTTATTATTTGCTTAAGTATGTCCGTATATTTCTGTCCTTTTAGGCAGCAAAAGAGTTAACTGCTGGTGTGTGTGTGTGTGTGTGTGTTTAAAAACACTGTGCACTGAGATAAGTTATTAGGGGAAGGGGAGTCATAAATCCGCCAACTAGAAGTAAATCAGGCATGTAAAAGGAATTCTTTAAACATATGAATACTATTCTATGTGAACCTTGGTTCCAGCATTGTTCACTTCTTTTGGATTGCCAAGTAACATTTACCCGAGACAAAAACTGCAATTGATTCGTATCTGAGCATTTCCACATCAGAGATCCTTGCAGTCAAATGAGTCACTTTGTAAAGGAAGGGTCAGAGTCGACCAATAGACTTTAAATATCAAGTGCCAGTCACTTTGCATGTAAATTCCCTTCTCAAAAAATTGCCAAATGTAGCTTAATTCTTAATAATCCTTTGACAGAGTAAACAATAAATGGCAGGCAGAAGCATTACAGTTGGCTGCGCCAAATAACATGCTGAACAAACGCAGCTTTCACTTTCTTTGCTGGGTTGAGTTTTATTGCTGTGTGCATTGTCTGACTGAAGTGGTGTGTGTTGGACAATGCAGAACTGTATCTTGTGGGACGAGGCGTTAGTTATTAGAAGCGGAAGTTGATACTCTATAAAGGGGAATGGTCTTTGTGTTTTAGTTCTTTGTTTTCAAGTATTTCAGAGGGAACAACGGTGCATTCAGTTTTAATAGCTGGATGGGCTTGTGTGTTGAGGAAGAGGGGTTTTAAGCCAAGTCTGCTGTAGATTGCTTGCTCAGGGTTTACTACTGCATCCTCGGAAAGTTTGGAGCCGCAGGATACAGAAGAGTTTTAATCTAGTGTTTAATAATGGACTCCACCCTCATAAACCTTTCTCAGTGCTTTATTTATGCTGTCATTGCTACTCCCAAACTACTTATGCTGAGGCCTGCAAGCCCTAACAGGGCATTGTTATTCTGAAACAAGACATACCTGAAATGATTCTCTCTGCAAATTAAAATTTACCTTCTTTCCTTTTGGTACTTGTTACTGATAGATGACAATATGATGCTTCATTTTGGAACACAAAGGCTCATGATTCTTGCTGTTTATGTTAAAAATGCAAAAAATTTTAATATGAGACAGTTTAAGGTGTCAGTGATTGAAGAATCAGTTTAGCCATGTAAAACAGTTTGGTGTGACTTAGTAGTAAACCAGCTGTATTAATGTATTAATGGATTAGAAAGTGAGTTGAAACTTTAGTTTAGCACATAGTATAGAAAAATGTTTCAGTAGCGTATTTTGGATTACTAAGTATTTGTAGTAGTATCAGTTTTAGGTAATGCATATCTCCAGGGGTTATGTAGTGTTTACAAAGTATCCTGAAGTCCTAATACCAAGTTAGTTCGACACATCAGTATTTAAGAGGGAGAGGGGAAGCAAAAGAGTGAGAAATACTATTTCTGAGAAACTTTGGTGCAGATAAAGGCATGGAGTTTAGAGGACATCCAACAATTATATAATGCAGAAACAAAATACCTTTTTTATATAATGCAAAAAGCCTACATTACAGTTAGTACTTTAAAAATTCTTTGATACGTAAACCAGTGTGGAGGTCTTAAGGCAGAGAGCTTCTACTGGGTTTTCACAAAATTTGTATTCATTCATAACTTACTGTTCTTCCTGCGCTCTGAATTCTAATGGATCCTAATACATTCATCATTTTTATACAAAAAAATGCTTTAGAGAGAAAATGATAATTTTTATACAAGTCCTTCACCAAAATGGAAGTTTTGCTGCAGCCACAGAAAGTTTTTAATGGAATGATGTGGTCATATGCATAAGAGAATTGCATGACTCCAATCTTTTTATCTGATAAAAAAAAAAGAACATTCTAAATATATGGGCCATGGCTGTTTTGAATGAGTCATAGCCCTATGCTATAACCAGCTAAAGTTTCTGTAATAACTACTTCAGCATTAAAGAATTAAGAAATATTTTCAGGCATACTGAAATACAGGTTCTTAGTTCAGAGGAAACAGATTAGATAAAGTTGTTGAGATTAAGTGTTCATACTGTAAGGTGAACAGAAGGAAAGGTTTTCTACTGCAACAGGTTGGTTGAGTATTCTCCAGTACTTAAATGATCATCCTGGTAAAAGCAGATCTGAGGCAAATTGTAGATAAAACCACTTGTAAATTCATTTTGTACTTAGCTCTCCAGCTTCCCTGTCTTCCGGTAGTTGTGTTACATAATTACATATAATGATTTATTTGATTTCTTTTTCCTTTTCAAAGTGAATTTAATTATTTCGGAGCTACAGAGGTTTATTGTGCTGAGTATTAAAGCATTCTCTTCAAACCTTAGTATTGTCAGTGCAGACCTCATTGTGTGAATGATTATCTGGGTGGAAGAAATGTACAGATGACAAATGTTGTGGCCTGTCCCATGAGCGCAGCCAGGGATGGTTCTCCTGATTCTGTAATGGCTGCAGACCTGCAGAGGTGCCTGTTCAGACTGTGTGTATCTCACCGTTACAGTGGCCTGTCTGTGAGTGGAAGCTTGTCAGAAAAATTAACCTGTAAGAGCCTGAAAACTTGCACATTTCTTTGTTTACTCAGTTCCTTCTTTATGCCTGTCATTCTCTACCATGGCGCCTCTTTTCTTGGCAGTTTTGTTAAATTTGAGTATTAGGTGCTAGTTAGCCTCAAGTCATTGCGTGTCATCAAATAGTGATGAGATGCTAATTGATAATCACTATAATTATCAAATTAGAATTTGCAAGGTGATGGTAGAAATGAATCATTTCCACACAATAACTGGCTGCTGTACTTAGAACATTTTCCTGCAGTGACGTCTAGCTCAGGGGCCTAGCGTGCCTGGGCATAGTCCTGTTGAATCCATGGAGGTCGTTGTAGGTTTGGAATTTATTAGTTATGTATGAGATTAACAAACACTGATGCCTGCTGAGGTACAAAATGTTTACTAAAATACTAGAATATTTGTGTGGAAATAAAAAAAATTCTGCTTATTTAAATAGGTTGGAAGTTGCTAGAGGCTACTCTACATGCATCTTAATGGCTTTAAGTATCTTCCCAATGTCTTCCTTTTGTTGAAGAATGAAAGAATACTTAAAAAATATACTCCCTGGGACCGATGGCTGTTGTTCAGAATGATTTTGGAATAGATAAAAGCAGTGCAAAGCTTTAAGCTTTTCCTGCAGGAGATGGATATCTTTAAATATTAAGAAAGTGAAGCCTGTCTGATTTTTCTTAGTTTTACAGCAATGGAAGTATAATCTTTTTTATGCTCCTTGATCAAATCTGTAATTCGGAATTCTACGTGTACCTGAATGTGCATTTAAGGTGATACTGATACCTCTTATACTTTGACAGGAGCCATGACATGGTAGATAGAAGAAAATGTTCCTGGGGCCCAACTTTTTAAATTCAAATATTTAATCTGGTGTAATTTCTAAATATGCTAAGTATAGGAAGTGTTTTCAAGCAAATTTCAAACTGCATCAGATGCAGAGATGATAAGCAACTTGCCTATATAGTTGTTGGAAGAACAGAAATGGTTAAATGTGAGGGCAATGCTTAATGGAGAGTGAAGAGTGTTCTGATTTAAGTGTAGAATGATGGATTTCTAATTCCAAAAAGATTCTGTTAGTGGTTACTGGAAACTTGTTAGTTTGTATTGGATTTACCTCTTGTGGCCCCTTTATTTAGATTATTTAGATGTTTTAAGTATGTGCTAGTTTTTAAGCAGGTGAATTCTTTGTGTATATTATTATAATAATTGAAAAATTTATCTGGAGGAGTAGATGAAAGCCTTGTCTAAATAGAAATGGGGTGGAGAGAGTTGGCTGTTTCTGTAGCATGTGATTTCTGACTCTCTACTGTGGTCAATCTAGGTTTGGTTTTTATGCTTACATTCTTCTGAAAATGGCTTATTCTCAAGACTTTTCAAAGCAAGTACAGAAAGATGTGTATATATCTCTAGTAACATTTTAGGTACAGGGTTTCTTGAGAGTGCAGTGTAGTAGTATTATTAGAGGTGAAGGAAGAGCATATGTAATAAGTCTTTATCAGTATTGTTTTCATCCATTACCAGAAGATGCTTAGCCCAGGACTGACCTGGAGAGAGAGGTTGTGGCAGTTACACTGTATGACTTTCACATAAGAAGAATGGAAGGGAATCTCTGTCTGTGACTCGTAGTCCTTGAAAGGTTATTCTGAAAGGTTCTGTCATCTCTGTGTATACGTTTTGAACAACAAAGTATTGGCTAAGATTTTAAAGATTGTTTGCTGATTAAACAAGCAATAGAAATTTTAATAAACAATCTTAAAGTGAATTATTAGGAAGCTGTCATGTGAAGGGCTTGGGTTTTTATATGTCTCAGAGGGTTTTTTTGGTTGTTTTATTGTTCTTACCAGCACACGCATACAAGTCTTGAACACACTCTGGATTCAAACAGAAGATTTTAATGCATTTAGTGACTTTGATACCGCTTTACCTGAACGTCCCATTCTGAACAGCCTGGTTTTTTAGCTCACTTGGACCTTTCTGCTGTAATGAATCTATAGGCAGACAAGAGGCAATTAGATTCCTCATGGAGCGAAGTCTTGTTCATGTAGGGTTCATTGCAGAACAAGACCTTTCTTACTCCCTCTTCAAAGGTACAGACAGAATATGTGTT